ACCTGAGGACAGATGAGAGGTCTTTGATGACCTGAGGATAAAGGAGAGGTCTTTGATGACCTGAGGATAAAGGAGAGGTCTTTGATGACCTGAGGATAAAAGAGTAGTCTTTAATGACCTGAGGGCGGAGGAGAGTTCTTTGATAACTTGAGGATGAAGGAGAGGTCTTTGAGGACTTGAGGATAAATGAGAGGTCTCTGAAGACTTGTGGGTAAAGGAGAGGCCTTTCACGAACTGAGGAGAAAGGAGAGGTCTTTGATGACTTGAGGAGAAAGGAGAGGTCTTTGATGACTTGAGGATGGAGGAGAGGTCTTTGAGGACTTGAGGATAAAGGAGAGCTCTTTGATGATGTGAAGATGGAAGAGAGGTCTTTGATGACCTGAGGATAAATGAGAGGTCTCTGAAGACTTGTAGGTAAAGGAGAGGCCTTTCACGAACTGAGGAGAAAGGAGAGGTCTTTGATGACTTGAGGAGAAAGGAGAGGTCTTTGATGACTTGAGGATGGAGGAGAGGTCTTTCATGACCTGAGGATAAAGGAGAGGACTTTCATGACCTAAGGAGAAATGAGAGGTCTTTATGACCTAAGGATAAACGAGAGGTCTTTGATGACCTGAGGACAGAGGAGAGGTCTTTAATGATCTGAGGATAAAGGAGAGGTCTTTGATGACCTGAGGATAAAGGAGAGGTCTTTAATGATCTGAGGATAAAGGAGAGGTCTTTGATGACCTGAGGATAAAGGAGAGGTCTTTAATGATCTGAGGATAAAGGAGAGGTCTTTGATGACCTGAGGATAAATGAGAGGTCTCTGAAGACTTGTGGGTAAAGGAGAGGCCTTTCACGAACTGAGGATAAAGGAGAGGTCTTTGATGACTTGAGGAGAAAGGAGAGTTCTTTGATGACCTGAAGATAAAGGAGAGTTCTTTGATGACTTGAGGAGAAAGGAGAGGTCTTTGATGACCTGAAGATAAAGGAGAGTTCTTTGATGACCTGAGGATAAAGGAGAGGTCTTTGATGACCTGAAGATAAAGGAGAGGTCTTCGATGACCTGAGAATAAAGAAGAGGTCTTTGATGACCTGAGGACAGATGAGAGGTTAGTGCTGGGCGGTATACCGTTTTGTACCGAAAACTGGTTTTTATTTTTGTTATGATATGACTTTTCTGAATACCGGAATAGCCTGAACATGTGCGGAACGTTTCGTCGCAGCCGCCAGTGAGCTGTTTCTCTGGGGACACATTTCGTTGCAGCACCGCTAAGCACATTAGCATGCTAACGTTATTATTGGAACCACTGGCGGCGGGTGGTTTGTTTCAGCCACTTATATGGTCTAACGTTTAAAAAAAAACATCCCGTTTTCACCATCGCTGAATAGTAAACCACTCCAGTGACGTGCACGGTTAGATTTAACGCGCTATGTTATAATGGAGACGTTACTGCATGGAAACTCTAGCGTGCTTCTATTGTGAAAAGCCCAGGGGAAAGTAGCTTTGTAGTGTAGAGGAGTTGACTAGTGTGCAAGGTGAGTCATCCTTATTTTATTAATGTGTTTTATTAACACATAACGATAGACCAGATAATGATTTTTTTCTCAACCCTTCACGATCGGACCAAAATGCATGATTACTGTCTACAACCAGGCAAAGAAGAAAAGACGTGCAAGAGGAGGGAAACAGTGATAAAAGAAAAAAGTCAGTAAGCAAATTTTGTACATTTTATTATCAACTGACCTGTGAGGAAAAAAATTACCGTCAAATACCGTAAAACCGGTGTAATTGTTGAAAATACCATGATATAAAATTTGGGTCATACCGCCCAGCTCTAGGCCCTTGTCTGATGAACAGTTGGATAAATAATTCTATAGAGACTCATCAGTTCTTTAAATCCAAATCTTACACTGATGGGACACATCAGAGCCTGTGGGGGCTTAATGTCTTGACCAAGGACACTTTGACATGTGACTGAATAGTAGTGGAATCGAACCACCAACTTTTGCATCAGGGGAACCACTCCCCTAGCTGCTCAGCCACAATCTCCCCAAGTTCTTTACAAAAAAAGCTGGTATAATCTTTATCTGTTGTGGAGAAGATGAGATTGTTTATTTACATTATTCAATGCATTCATTTGTTTTTGTTTATTTTGCAGCCCACCAGAACCGTGTGTCAGACATGGTGTTCTCCCTGGAGAGTGAGTGGGTGGTGAGCACCGGCCATGACAAGAGTGTTAGCTGGATGTGCACCCAGAGCGGCAGCATGTTGGGAAGACATTACTTCACTTCCTGGGCCTCCTGCCTACAGTATTCTTCACTGATTGTGTGTCGTATGTAGAAAGAATGGAGAGAGAGAGAGAGAGAACGTAAATGCCTTGACTTCTCACTCAGATATGACCATGAGACGCAACATGCCTTTGTTGGTGATTACTCTGGCCAGATCACTCTGCTGAAGCTGGAGAAGCAGACATACTCCACCATCACTACTCTGAAGGGTCACGAAGGTAAAGTCACAAACTACATCCTGTACAGATCTAAGTATATGTAGGTTAATACAAGTACTCATAGACGAATACTTGCATAGAGAAATCTCTAATGATGATAGAAAATTTACGGATGTAATTGTAGTAAATGTTGATCACTCATATTTCTCCCCAACTTTATTTTTCTACAAATAAAGGTAAAAATTTATCTGAGATTGAATCTATTTGGATGACAATCCTTTTTTGTTTCKTATACAATGTAAAATTACTATATTTTCTGTGCAATTGAATTTAATGTTTATCAATAAATCTAAATTTAATTCAACAATGAAAGTATTTTAGGTAGTACTTGGCTAGAGCACCTCCTTATTCTTTGTTTTAGTTTTAGTTTTTTTTTTATTTAGAATTGCGTTTAAATCCTGTAAATATTTGGTGTTCTGCTTGAAATTTAATCAGAAGATCAAAGGAAATCTATATTGTATTTAAACTTTCAGAAACACAAGTAGAATTGGAAATAAACATGTGAAATTTATATTTAATTTTACCAATAATCTGTGATGGACTTGCAACCTGTCCAGGGTGAACCCCGCCCYACGCACTGTGAGTGCTGGATATGGGCACCAGTGGCCCCCGTGACCCTGAAAGAAAGAAGCGAGTATAAATAATGGATGGATGGATGAATAATCTGTTAAAGCAAGTGCATATTTTCATAGCTACAGTATAGGCTACTTTTAAAATCAGATAATTATTGATCACTGTTGATTTTGTAGTTGTGCTCACTGCCACAAAAATGAACAGACAATTGTTTTTATTCATTTATCCATCCATCCATCCATGCTAGGTTCAGACCAAACRTGTTTTGAGCAACTGTTTTACATACAAAGTGGTGGACATGCATCTAAGGGCGTCGAGAAGCCAGATTTAGCTGAACTCAAGTGCATGTAGTCAGTGTCCTGACAGGAAATGTGGGCACCAATGCGGATCAGCGGCTTGTCTGGGCTCTGCAGAAAAATAGATCTGCAAGCAAGCCTYGTCAGTGCGCAGCTCCTGGAGTTTTAAAACTCACCAAACACAGAATGTCTTTGAGTTATCAGAATTAATTATGCATTGARCACTACATGCTCTTTCTCTCAGTATATAAAGCAAAGCCACTTAATTTCATCCACCATTGTACAGAGACTGGCTGAGGAAAACAACCAAGAGGCACTTCCGACATGCGTGACGAGCATCTGAACTCAAAGTGCACAAGCATCCAACTTGAAGCATTGGACGTGTTTTTGACACTGAATATGCATTTGGTGTGAACGTAGCATGAGTCTCCCAGATAACTGAACTTCTCACCCTGTCTGTAAGGGAGAGTCCAGTCACCTTGTGGAAAAAAAATCATTTTGACCACCTGTATCTACRATCTTGTTCTTTTGGTCACTACCCAAAGTTTGTGGCCATTGATGAGTGTAGGAATGTAGACAGACTGGTAAACAGAGTTACGCCTTACAGCTCAGCTCCCTCTGAACCACAACAAACCGGTACAGAGTCTGCAATACTGCGGAAGCTGCACTGATTTGTCTATCAGTCTCATGCTGTATTCTTCCCTCACTCATGAATAAAACCCCAAGATATTTGAACTCCTCCATTTGTGGCAGAACCTTTCCCCCAACCAAGAGAGAGCAATCCACCCTTTTCTGACTGTGGACCATGGCCTCAGATTTGGAGGTGCTGATCCTCATCCCAGCTGCTTCACGTTTGGCTGCAAACTGCTCCATTGAGAGCTAAAGATCACATAATCTGCAAAAAGCAGTGATGGAGTCTTGAACCAGACTCCTTCCAGACCCTGGCTGCACCAAGAAATGCTGTCCATAAAAAATGTGACCAGAATCAGTGACAATGGGCAGCCTTGGCAGAGTCCAACTCCAACTCTGAAGGGGTCCGACTTACTACCGGCAATGCAAACCAAACTCTCGCACTGCTCGTATAGGGACTAAATGGCCTGTAACAATGGACCCACAATCCCACACTCGCGTAGTACCCCAGCAGTGTACCKCGAGGAACACAGTCCACAAAACAAGTCCACGAAACACATGTTGACTGAATGAGCAAACTCCCATAACATTTTGAGGACCCTAGTGAGGGTAAAGAGCTGATCCAGTGTTCCATGGCCAGGACGGAACCCACATTGTTCCTCCTGAATCTGAGATTTGACCATCGATTGGACTCTTCTCTAGAACCCCTGAATAGAACTTACCAGGGAGGCAAAGGAGAGTGATGCCCCCTATTATTGGAAAATACTTTCCGATCCCTCTTTTTTGATGAGGGGAACCACCATCCCTGTCTGCCCACTGTCTGCCCACTGCCCCCCAACGTCCACGCCATCTTGCAAAGGTGTGTCAACTGAGACAGCCCCACAACATCCAGAGCCTTAAGGAAATCAGGGTGGATCTCATCCACCATGAAGCTTTTTAACTACCTTGGTGACCCCAGCTCTAGTTGTCCCCAGACTCGGCTTCCTCCATTTTTAACTACCTTGGTGACCCCAGCTCTAGTTGTCCCCAGACTCGGCTTCCTCCATAGAAGACTTGCAAGTGGGCTTTAGAAGGTCCAAGAAGTATTCCTTCCACGTCCCAACATGACCACTGGTTGATGTCAACAGCACATTGTTTTTATGGTAGTTTAATTTTAAGGGAGACAGATTATCGACAAAATTTTCAGAAAATCTCATTTAAAAGTAGGGCTGTCAAATGATTAAAATTTTTAATCTATTAATTCCAAGGTAGCTATGAATTAATCACAATTAATCACGATTAATCTTGAACTTAATGTAAAACTTTATTGCATATTGGTAAAATAAATTACTTGAGTTATTAATTAATGTCTTTATTTTGAAAAAAAATTGGTGCTTAAGAAATACATACAACAATAATAAATCACCTCAATTGCACAAAAGCAGCAAAAATCAGGACCTAAAAAATGCCCCAAACATATTTGAGTCAGTTAAATTTTGTGCAGAATAATGGTTAAATCAAGAATTCAAGGATTTTCATTCCAAATGAGGACTACTAAGGTCACAGCTGTCAGCAAAACATAAATAAATAAAATAAAATAAGCCATAAGAAGACAAAAAGAAAAAAAACTGTACATAATGTGTTACACATGGAGTTTTTTTTTTAAATTTATTTAACCTTTATTTATCCAGGTAAACTGTTTGAGAACCACTTCTCATTTACAAACATGACCTGGCATGCACTGAGTGCATTGCAAAATACAAACCTACATATTCAGCCATTGTAAAGTGATTGTAAATTTTAATTGCACATAATCGCGATTAAATTTTTTAATCTATGCCCATGCAGCACTAAAATTAATCAGAGTTAACTCGATTAATTTCACAGCCCTATTTAAAAGTTTACATAGAATGAAAATAGAATTTAATATTTTAGAACTCAGCCAGTGGCTCAGTGGTTACAGCAGTCGACCTCCAATGAGAGAGCTGAAGGTTCAGTTCCAAAAAGCTGGGATAGCAAAAACTGAAGCATATCTCATGTCGGATACTATTATTATTATTTTAATTTCCGTGATTTAACTCGTTTTGTATTGTTATTGTGAGGTTTGACACCTCCTCTTCTAGTGGCGGGTAATCACTTAAATGATTTTAAATACACAATGAAGCTGGAAACCTTCTGCCTTTTTAAAAATTTGTTTTCCAGTTCAGAGCTGAGGTGTTTGGATGTAGCAGGTTGTAGTTCTTTGGGTGGTCTCTGGGTGGTGCCAGTTGATCGGCCCATCAGACTCTGTCTCATCAAGCGTTTATAAATAACCTGACAACAATATGGGCTGTTTGTTTTGAACTGCAGGCAGCATAGGGGCCCTGTGGTGGGACCCTGTCCAAAGGCTGCTCTTTTCAGGGGCCTCAGATCACAGCATCATGATGTGGGACATCGGGGGCCGCAAGGGACGAACACTTCTGCTGCAGGGACACCAGTAAGTTTTTGTGTCACACGCATATATTCACGTTTATAAATCTGCCTTCAGTTTGTTTTCATCGGGGATCAATACTCTCCAAAGTAGTCACAGATAATACTCTGTCTAAAAAAACACAGCGGCCTCAGAAAATTCACCTCCTTTCATTTTCATCGTTTCTTTCATCACTTTCATCTTCAAAGACTAGTCTCTGTGGTGTCAGTAGCAGTTGTCCCAAGGCACAGCCCTTTTTTTTATCTCCAGTCTTCAGCCTTCATATCTTCCTCCTTGTTCTCCACAGAGCCTGTGAGCAGTGATGCATGTCGGAGCAAACCCCCGTACATCCTGTTGTACCGTAGCAGGATTTACACACATCTGATAAAAAGACATGCAAAAATACAGTATGAAGCCTTTATATTTTCCTCCACTTCTGACAGCCACTAAATCCTGTTTTGACCCCAGTTTTCATCACCATCGAAGCTTCTCGTTCTCCATGTCTTTCTCTTCTTTTCCTTTTCCTTTCTGTCCTCCATTTTACAAATGTTAGACAGAGATAAAATACTGAATATAATTTTGAAACATTCTTCATAGACGCAGTAGTTTATCTTGTTGATGATTTGCACATTATGTCAACCCCCATCTCCCCTCCAGTCACCACACCCCCAGCTTCAGCTGAGTTGTTTATGTTGTCATTTAGGATATTACTCAAATCTGCTAAACAAGGCTTGTCACACAGCCAGAACCACTTATCATGTTACTTTGATATCCAAATATTAATTTATCACATATTATCACTGACATTGCTGCAACTCCTTTTTAAAGTGCCTGTGATGTCAAATTTCTGTAATACGAATATGAATGCATTTTTAGAAAGAGGACATTGATAAAATATTGCAAAAGAAATTTCATGTTGCTGAGATGAACAGCTGTTGAGATATTTGCCTGTGAGGTAACAGGAAGTGATGTCAAAGGGCAATGTCTGCATGTAAACAGAGCATTGCTACAATGGCTAACGGCACAGAGTGTAGAGAAGAATCTGATATTTAAGATTATTTTGAGTCACTATCAGAGAGAGATGAAGAAGAGTCAGAGTTCAAATAATAATGTTTCAATAAAAAAAGACCAGAGAGTTTTCTTTGTTAAAGAGTTCCCCTTTGATGTCACTTCCTGTTTCACTTTGGCTGAGCCAAGTTCAAAAGAAAATATGCCAGTTAAGGGACAAAATGGGTTAAATAGTGTGTTTTATTCCACTTTTCTTAAATATAAAGATATTTTCTTTGACAACTTTTTGTATTTGAAGAATATGCATGTCACAGGCTCTTTAAGATGTCTTAAGAAAGAGTCGGTTCTACAATTCTGCCACTAGATGCCACTAAATTCCAAACTTATTGTACTTTTAATGAGTTGGGGAAATATGCTATAGTCTTTTGAACTCTCAAAAGCATTTTTAGATTTTATTGTTGAGCTTCTCGTTCCTAATCTTCAGACTCTGTGGTGAGTCATTGCAGCGTGAAAGAAGCAATAATCCATTCCTCACGCTGACGAGTGCACCCTGCTCTCACCACATGGCTGATAAAGAAATTAGATTTGCCCGTCCTTTTAAAAGACTCAAAATTAGTAAATATTTTCCCCATCAAGGTGGGAGATATGCAGCTGTTCCAGTCTATTTATCAGTGAGGAGGAACAATGGGCCTCATGCAAGAACATGTTCGTATTCTTATCCTAAATTTCTCTTACTTTTGTTCGTACAAAGGGTTCGTACGAACATGTCACGTCAGATTCAACAAACTCTTCTATCTTCAGGAAAAGTGTGTAAATGAGCTGCGTAAATTCCACCTGTTCGTATCCAGCTGCTCGTGCACGCGAGAGGAGATTAGCATAATTACCACCCCAAAAACTCCATATAAGGCTATGTTTCCTGCCTCAGATATCAGGAAGTGTCCATTCATGAAAATGACAGCGAAAATTAAAAATAAAAACTTTACGAGTTCAAATTTGAAGTCCGTCTGTCAGAGATCCAGAAAAGAAAATCTGTCATTTTTAGCAGGTCAGCTGTGGAATAAAAAGAGCTGCTAAAAGTATAAACAACTGTGTTAAATCATTTTCATTTATTCTGAAGCCGCAGCGCTGCGCACCGTGCCCACCGCGCGCTGCGGTGGTCTCAGATGCGGGTCTGAAATAAGCATTTTAAAATGTTTTCAAAATAWGTCTGGCACTTTGAAGAAAWCCCAGGACTCACTGGAGGGATTATGTATCCCCTCTGGCCTGGGAACGTCTCGGAGTCCCCCAGGACGAGCTGGAAAGTGTCTCTGCGGAGAGCGCGGGGTCTTTCTCCTGCTGCCCCCCTGCCGCACCTGATAGCGGATAAGCCGGCCGGACGGACAATTTATATTGTTAGTCTAAATTATTACATTTAAAATTATAACTCTAATTCAAGCAGAATAATTTATTGTCAACATAATTATGGAGTGTGATTTATTTTCAACTCAAAATATCTTCAAATTAACTAAATATAAAGTTATTAGTGAAGAAAACCCGCCTGGATAACAGCAGACTGACTGCTCGTAAAATATACGACAGGTCTGGACCACTYGTRAATWTTGTTCRTATCTGAAAAAAATYKTAGAATACGAAAACATTGGTGAATGCCACAAATTCTCCTAAATCACTCGTACGCACAACTTAAGAACAAATCTGTGCGTACGAACGGTTCTTGCATGAGGCCCAATGGGTTTATTCCTAAAAAGAGAGAAAAATCTTTGACGTTTGGATCTTTTTGATCTGAAAGAGATTCTTGCAGAGGAAGCTTTTGTAAACGTGTGTAAATTGAGTGTGCTGACTTGCATTTACCTGTGTAGAGTTCTTATAAATGAGAGCAGAAGGGATGAGAAGATAAACGTGTGACTTGTTTACCTCCCACAGCGAGCGTGTTCAGGCCCTGTGTTACCTCCAGTTCACCAGGCAGCTGGTGTCGTGCTCAGCCGACGGAGGCATCGCGGTGTGGAACATGGACATACAGAGAGAAGAGGTATCCGATCTGACACTCGATAATTTTACGGCTTCACAAACTGTTTTCTCGTGTTTTGCTTTAATTATTGCTTGCTGTCAAAGGTGACAATGTTGTTGCCTGGCAAAATAGCTAATTAACCACTAGATGGATTTTATTAAAACACGCCAAAGTAATCTTTTGCTGCATCAATCTTAGAAAATGCAAAAACGACTACAGTTTTGCWGGTGTCAAGCTAAGGTTATGGTAGTAGCTGAGAGCCATCCCCAGCACACACTCCCAGCACTAACACCATGTGTGTGTGTTTTTTTTAATAATGTTGCTAACTATTAGAGTCAATTTTGGCTGTTAGCAAAGTAGCTCAAGAACCACTGGGTGAATTGTAAAGTGCCTGTCCCATCAAATGTTTGTGATAGATACGAACGCATCTTTCTAAACGTGACATTAATTACGCCACTGTTATTGAGATGTTCACATATGCAGTAACAAGAAGTGATGCTAAAGAGGAAAGTCTGCATGTAAACAGAGCATTGCTACAGTTTCCATCCAATTTTAATGCGAAATTTGAGCGAACTCTTAAAATGTCACAAAAAAKAAATGTGAATCAGACGTGTTTCCATCTGCTGGCTTGGAGCGAATCGACCAGGCTAYGCAAAGTGTAATTACRTCAAACGTTSATGTTACGCATGGAATAGTAAACCRGAAGCAGAGATTGTAAACTCGCAGGGACTACATATTTCCAGACAATAGAGAGAAGTTTCCATCTCCCTTTTGTGCATTATCTCTTTTTCAGAAAATCCAAAAACCACCCCAAGCGAGCTTAAAAACCTTTTTGCAAAATTGAGGAAATTTTAGCGAATTTTTTCCGTTTCCATCCACATTTTCTAATGCGATACTTAAAAATTCACACAAAAAAAGTGTTGATGGAAACATGGCTAATGGCTACCAACACAGCATAGCAAAGAATCTCATGTTTATCTAAATAATTTTGTCACTGAGAAAGAGATGAAAAAGAGTCAAAGTTTGTGTAAAGACCAGAGAGTTCCCCTTTGTCGTTACTTCCTGTTTTCACTTTTGTTGCACCAAGTTTAAAAGAAAAAAATTTTGAAAATTGCAACTTACCATATTTATGTGTAATGAGACATTTAATTCCAAAAATTATCCATAGAGTTGGGCATTATAACAGATTTTAACAGATTTATTTCTCACGTACTACAAAAATAAGTTTAAATATTTTCTTGTATATCACTGAAATATTGAATCTCAGAGAATAAATCATCATATATTCTCTCGCTGTCTGTTGCCCGTAGCAAAGCATATAAACAACAACAATTGTTTTTTTTCTACACTTAACTTTGTTTTTCTTGTCTCTACGGAGACGAACAGAAGATTTGGACGTTAGTTGCGCATTTGTGTGCTCATAAGTACATCTWGCTAGTTTAACAATCAGCTTGTGCTCTGAGAGCACAGTGGATCATTGTCAGCAACATGCAGAGGCTCGTGTTGCTCCTCCACAGCCACAAACACACCCACATGTGTGTGTCCCCAAAATAATCCACTTTCACCAGAGGGTACACCACAAAGGCTTAAAAATCCTGGAGTCAAGGGTCGAATAAATACAATATGTGACAAAATGTGTAAAATTTATAGTATAATAAGCATTCATATAAGCTGCTATTTCATTAATTATAGGTCTTTTTAATTTATTTTTTTTCTCTTCTTTTTGCTGATCATTAGGGTATGAATTCTTTATTTATGTTTATGTATGTATGTAATATATATTTTCTTGTTAAATGGGAGCAGACATAAGATTTTTTCTTCTTTCTTCTCCTTTTCATTTTATATTGTGTTTGTGTTATGTTTGAACTTTTTGTTTTAATTAAATGRAAAAAAAAATCATGTGTATTATGCCCAGAGGTCTGTAAGCTACTTGAAAAATTAACTATGTAAAAGTAAAATTATATGAACAGAAATTGACTTTAGTAAAAATAAATTTCACTGATGAGAAAACTGTTCACAAAAATTGGGAAAGTAAAAGTATTTTACACTCTCTACGAATTAAACTGTTGAATTTACTGAACCTAACTGGTTCCTCTAAGCCAGGTTGAGTAAAATGATTAATATACGTGTAGTCTTTGCTCAGTTTACTCAACTAGGCTTAATGGAGCCAGTTGGCATGATTTTGTTGAGTAAATTCAACACTTCATTTTTTAGAGCATAAACATCATACAGGTCCTTCTCAAAAAATTAGCATATTATGATAAAGTTCATTATTTTCTGTAATGTACTGATAAACATTAAAC